CTGATGAGAGAAATGATACGGAAGTTCTGGAAGATCAAACTGTATCATATGATGTTCCAGATCGTAGGTATCCGTTTAGAGAGAGAAAGGCTAAGGTACAACCTGACTTCATTAGTTATCAAGTTACAACAGAGAGAGACCCCTTAACTGTTAATGAAGCATTATCTAGGAGTGATGGAGATAAATGGAGAGCTGCGATTCAGGAGGAGTTACAATCTATTCAGGAGAACGAGACGTGGACTCTTGTAAAGCCACCTAGTAATTGCAACATTGTCGATTCTAAATGGTTATTTAGAATTAAAAATGAGGGGGGGAATAAAATTAGATATAAAGCTCGACTAGTGGCAAGAGGCTTCAGCCAAAGAGAAGGGATAGACTATTTCGAAACTTTTTCACCTGTAGTGAGACACAGTTCGCTGAGGACACTTCTTGCATTAGCCGCGAGAACAGGTTTAAATGTGGATCAGATGGATGTCAAAACAGCATTCCTCAATGGCAATCTAACTGAAACAGTCTATATGAGACAACCAGCAGGGTTTGAAGAGAAAGGTAAGGAGGACCATGTTTGTCTACTGAAAAAATCTCTCTATGGATTGAAGCAAGCACCAAGAGCTTGGAATCAAAAACTACATTCGGAGCTAATTAAACTTAACTTCAAGAGATCGAAGAATGAGCCCTGTATCTACACGAGATCTAAAGGTGATAATAAGATTATTATTGCTATTTATGTGGATGATATGCTGATCTTCTGGAACAATGCTAAAGAGTTGTCTCAAGTAAAGAAGGACTTGATGTCTAAATTTCATATGAAGGACCTTGGGAAAGCCGAGTTTATATTAGGCATTCGTATCACCCAAGATCATAAAGGTATTAAACTGGACCAGGAACAGTATGTAGATAAATTGCTTAAACGCTTTAAGATGGAAGCTTGCAAAGTGGCCGCAACTCCGTCTGTACCAGGCCAGAGGCTGACTAGACCAGGGTCTGATCACAAACCGGATGACAGGATTCCGTATCAGGAACTTGTAGGATCTTTATTGTACCTAGCAGTGTGTACAAGGCCGGATATATCGCACACAGTCTGTTCTATCAGTCAATTTAATACCTGTTACACTGAAGAACACTGGCTCGCAGCAAAGAGAGTGTTGCGTTATTTAAAAGGAACAAAGAGCTATGGCATTCAATATAACAAAGGAATGACTTTGCCAGTTATTCAAGGGTATGCTGATGCTGATCATGCTGGAGATGAAGATCGCAAGTCGTACTCTGGATTTGTTTATATCAGCCAAGGAGGAGCTATTTGTTGGGAAACAAAGAAGCAACGCACAATTGCACTATCAACAGCCGAGGCAGAGTATGTGTCATTGTCGGAAGCTTCAAAAGAGGCAGTGTTTCTGCGCAGGTTTCTCGCTGAAATTTTTAGTACCAAAGAGGAACCAATCCTTATTTTCAGTGATAGTCAATCGGCCATAGCTATCGCAGAGAACCCAGTTCATCATCAACGTACAAAGCATATAGACGTAAGATACCTCTTTATTAGAGAAGCTGTAGAACTTGGTGAGGTGAATTTAAGGTATATAGACACTTCCCATATGTTGGCGGATGCTCTAACTAAATCTCTATTAAGAGGAAAGTTTGAGTACTGTGTGAATGGTATGGGAGTCAAATCGTGATATTGGTAGACTTGATGTTGTGCTTGTGTACATGGTATGTATGTATGTCTGTATGAGTGTTTATTGTATGAAATTAAGGAGGAGTGTTAGAAATAGGTTTATTTTCATACAGCTACGCACTACTGGCCGGTTGTAATTTAAAAAGATATGTTTTTAAATTTAGTTGACTGTTAGAAACAATCGTTGCCTTTCTGTATTTTGTCTTCTATTAAATTTTATCGTACTTTTATATTGTGTTTATCCTATTCCCTTCCACTACGGAAATATAAGCTGATATCACAAACAGAAATACCAACACCTTTGTCCATACCATGGTGTGATTAGAGTGCAGGCAGCAACAGTGTATTTATAAAAAAAATTTTTTTTTTTTTGGTGGATGAAAATGGAATGGTAACCTTACCCCGCCTGCGCTAACGGGATACGCTGGCGGAGCACTAGTGAAGGGTGATCAATGAGAATGAAAAAAGGCCAGTTAGCCCATCATGATGAATTCATCAGGAATTAACCATGATAGTTTCCAGGGGGAACCACGAGGAGGTCGACCTGGTTTGGTATATTGCTAGCAATGGGATTTTTAGTCTCCATTACTAACAATCCCTTTCCCCCTGAAAAAATATTAGGTTTCCTTTTCTGATTCCAAACAAAAAATGTTCGACGCTTGAAGCACATGTACCTATGTGTACTGTTGGAATGTGCGTCTCCGGGTCCGAGTCTAAATACTTCTTATTGATTAAAGACGACTGCAGTGTTCTAGGATTTATATTCTTTTTGAAGAATAAATTGGAAAACAAATACTACGTACAAAATTTATTTCTTTTAGTGCCAAATATTGTTTTTGCTTCTACCACCACCTTTTTCTTTTTAAGGTGCCATCTCCTACCAAATGTTGGCGATCATCATTCATTTCTTCTCATCGGGATAAAACTAAACTCTCTCTAAGTTGGCGCAAACAATATACATTTAGAAAATTTCATTAAAATCAGTTAAGCAGTTTCAATTTTTATATATTAAAATAACAAGACTGGATTTAAAATAAAGAATATATTAGGTCCTTACATATGAAATTAGCGTTTTGTCGTTGGCCACTTTGATATTAAATATCTCCTTTTTGGTTAAGAATTCCAAATTCAAATTTGTAAATTCATTTAGCTGGTATATTTGAGTTAAATAGTTATTCATTTGTTTGTTTCTCATAATTTTTTTCTTTTACCTCGTTTATTGCCGCACAATAGAAAACATGAAATATCGGTATATTTACGAGTACGATTTCTACCGTGGCATCAGTACTGCAGAAACAGCTTGAAGGATTAATAATGGGTACGGCGTTGGTGTCGCAAAAGATAGCACGGTACGTTTTTCGTTTCAACGGTTTTGTTCTGGAAATTTCGACCTTCAGAACCAACCCCCAACCAACCAAGACGGCCGGAGACCAAAGTGGAAAATAAAGAATTAAAGGCTATTGTGGAAGCGGATCCATCACAAAGCACTTCAGAGATAATTGCAGGCTTCGGGCTAAGTGATAAAACTTTAACGATGAATACCTCATGAATTGAGGGAATCGAATTTGCAAACACGCGTCGACTGCTGTGTTACTTTGCTTAACCGACACAATAAAGAAGGGATTTTAAATCGAATCATTACTTGTGATGAAAAGTGGATACTCTATAATAATTGGAAGCGCTAGTCGCCATGGCTGAACCCTGGAGACCCAGCCAAATCCTGCCCTAAACGAAAATTGACACAGAAAAAGTTACTTGTGAGTGTTTGGTGGACTAGCGCCGGTATCATTCACTATAGCTTTCTAAAATTTGGCCAAACGATTACGGCAGATTTCTATTATCAGCAACTGCAAACCATGAAGGAAGAAGTAACTGCTAAACAACCGAGATTGGTCAATTGCTCTAGGCCACTGCTGCTTCACGACAACACAAGACTACACACTGCACAACAAACAACCACTAAGTTAGATGAGCTACAATTGGAATGTCTGCAATATTCACCGTATTCCCCGGACCTTGCTCCAACAGATTACTATTTTTTCCGGAATTTGGACAACTTCTTATAAGGAAAAAAAATTCAACTCTGATGTGGTAGTCCAAACCGGTTTCAAAGAGTTTATTGATTCTTGCCCCCATGGTTTTTTTTAGTAAAGGGATCTATGAATTACTTATGAGATTGCTAAAGTGCATAGACAACAACGGTGCATACTTTGATTAATTAAATATATTTTAGAAAAAAAATTTCACTTTATATTCCATTTTTACAAAATGCCAATTTCATATGTCATCATCATTGAAGAAACTGAAATGGTATTATGATATATTAATATTGTATGTAATTGATATATTCAATACTATTTTGAATGCATATTAGTTTAACTTGCCAATGTATGTGTGATCTCAATTTTAACCTAGGTCATAATGATTGTTTCAAGAGTACACTACAAAATTGACAATTATAAGATGTGGGATTAAAATCAATATTGAGCTTCAAAAGTAAACCAGCAGAGAATTATATTCTTATATTCATAAATGTTGAGTATGTTTGATGAGTCCGCTTATGTTGTTGTTTATCATATTTGTTGTTTCTAGATTTATTTTTGTAGGAAAGTAAATATTACAATAACAAGCATGATGTAACTAAGGTTAAATTAAGGTTAGTTTTATCAAAAATATTTGTTTATTTAATAATTTTAAACAAATTTGTATTTAATATTTTTTCCAATTAAAAACTGATGTAGTTTTAGTGATAAATAAGCCCTATTCCCAAAACAGTTTTTAAATAATTATATAAAATAATATAAAAATCCAATTGAATTAATTTTGTAGTATGTTGTTTTAGTTTTAACATTATTTTCAAATAATGAAGTCAATACAATTGTTGAAAACAACAAACAGTAAATTCATAAAATTTCCATTATAATGATATAAAAAACAACATTAGTTTTAAAATTAAAATAAAAAATAAATAATATTACTATTAAATTTATGGGGTTAGTAATAATAATAATAAGTTTATTGCAAAATAAATGTTACAAACATTTTTAAATATAGATGAAACCCTGCTCCCTAAATAGTTACTAAAGTAGTACTTAAAGTTTGCAACAACTGTGTTATATTATTATATATAATTTTAAATTCAAATTATATAAAAATTCAATAGGTATTTTACAGAAATTTTATAAAGAATTTTTTCAACATAGGTGTTTATAAATTTCTACAGATTCTTTTGCATGCACCCTTCTTCTTCTTGTTGACTTAAATACTGTAGGATACTAAACTAATGCTGAAAAACAAACTTTTAAAATAATAATCAATCATTACTTACCATGACACCGCTTCGGGCAAGAGCCCTGTAATAGTTCTAAAGAAGTGAGTGTTACTTTTTTTTGGATTTAAATGGTATACCTCAGGTTCTAAGATTTGTTCTCTCAGTGAACACATGAATCTAACAGCACTTATTAATAAATTTGTAGCCCTAATTAACTGATTATTATAGGGTGGGCGAGAATCATTTTGGAATACAAGCAATGGATTATAATTTATTGGCAATGCCACACGATCCCGTAAATATAAATCAAACCAATATTCGGATATATAGCTTGTATGTTTGTTCCTATTGTCCTTGGCGATTAGTTTCTCTTGTAATGTTTTGCCTTCTGTAGTTACAAAGTCTGTGGTACGACGTCTAGCTTGTTCAAATTGATCATCGGTCAGCAAAGGCCTCAAAGATTTTAGGTAACGTTCTCCCGTTTTCGATAACTCGGGCACAGGTAAGCGTGGTAAAGACTTTTGAAAGTGCATAGTTGGTAGTTTACTTTGCTGAATATACTGGTAGTTGACATCCCGAAGTTTCCTAATTTTTGAAAAATTTCTTATTTGAAAAAAAGTGTGTGAGGATTTCTTCTTATTTATAATTTTACTCACGATAAACATCGTTCAGTAAGAGTATAATAGCTAGCAAACTACAGTAATAAATAGTAACTTAAAGGTTAAATATTTTACTTAATAAAAATCTTTATAAATTGGACTTTCATCTATTTTGCACTTGCACGATATAACTTGTGTGGAATAGACTAGAGATACAAGAAGAAGACAAAAAACTAACTAAAAAAAAACAGGAAATTAGAATATAAGAACAGTTAGGTACCCACGGCAGGTAGGCACCTACTAGCTAGAGATGGAAAATAGACATATAGCAGAAAAACGAAATGCTTATTAAAATAAGCACAGGTAAAATTTTAATAAATAGATTATTTTTTACAAATCACATTGTTTCTCAATTAATATTATTTCTATAATATCTTAACATTACGCGATGAATGACATTTGTGTCCCTTTACAAGCCATGCCGATTATATGTACGCTTTATAATTTACAATATATAGAGAAAATTTTATGTTTATTCAGTTTTTCTATAACAGTTCAATTTGCCAATAATTTACTATTAACAAATTTTACATTACTAAAATATTTATTTGATTCTGTTAATGCATGTATGTAAATAGGTTCTCATAAAACTTGGTAGATTTGTGCTACCAAAACAACCACAACGTTGGAAATAACCTGAATAATTTACTTCGATGGATTGTTCAAAAAGCGATATGTTTTTATATGTCTACCACTTTCTGACATTGATAACATTGGAATACAACGAGCAATACAATATATGGATTTTCATGTTCCAGATACTATTTTCCAAAATCTTTAGCCTTCTGCTCGACCTCCTATCCTTTTCTAATATTAATTATTCAACTTGTCTCTTTTTTAATATTTATTATCCCTTTCTAAAATCTATGATTCTAAGGTACAATTTTATTTACAATCTTATTTTACAACAAAAATTAAAAAGAATAAGAGTCTATTTAAAAGAAATATACTACATGCTATTTTTTTTACCATTAGAATAATCGTCTGATACGATATGAATATTTAGTTTGAATATTTTTGAAAAAAAAAAACATTTTAGTAAGAAGTATTATTAAGCTTATTTTATAAGTACAACGGATAGCGTTAATACATGTTATAGTTATTTTTTCATCAGAACGCACTAGCCGAGATAGGTAAACACCATTTTGATATTTGATTTGACGTAAAGTGTCGTTGTCATTATTAATTGTGGATGACATTAAATTGACATAAGTAACAGAAACTAAGAACAAGGCAGGAAGTAGCACGGTAGTGATATCGATTGAAGTAGATCTGATATACCTTTCCTGAGTTTATTTTGAAGTGTAAGAACATTACATTGTGAAAAGATTACGATACATTAAAAATATTATTACGGTATGGACCATTGAAAATTAAATGTAACTTTAAATTTTCAAATGTGCAAGAAATTTTTGTTAAGACTATTCAATTATGCAGTTTTTTGATTTTGAACATCTGCATCAGTTTTTGAAAAGATTTACGATAGAGGTATACTATAAATAGTTTTATAATACTATTAATTTATTTTATTGCGTAGGTTCTATGTGGTTGCATAGAATTATTTTTCATTTCACTATATGGTCAATGCAGACTCTTAAATAATGTACTCGTCACAAGTCACTGTCTTGAATCATTAATCTATATTTTTCACTATACTTTAAAATTTTGTTACTCTGTCATAAATGTGGCCCTTTTACAAATGTTATTTAATTTTACAATTTAATTTTAAATTGTAATACAATGAATTAGTACGTATATTTATTCCAACAAGTGAGTTAAGTTATTTGAATTATTAAGTACTTCGGAACATAAAGTCTAGAAGAATGAACGATCTGCCAGAAAATAGCAGCAATACTGCTGGTTCAGATTTGGACACCTTGGATTATTTGCGTGGTGTAAAGTCATCAACATGTCTTTTACTGCCAACAACCCCTAGTCCCACTCCTTTGGATTTCAAACACCCACTGTCAGAGGAAATGAGTGAGCGACCGTTTTTACCATTAAGCGACGACGCCAATAGTGCGACTTTGCAAAATGCAGGTACGTATTACGTATGCAGGAAGAGAGTTCAAATTAGTCTTTTTTATGTGAATAGTACACAAGCCGGCAGACTTATCTGATGTAATACGATAGGTACTTCACTATCACTTTGGACATGAACTATGGTATACACTTTAGCACTCAGTGATTTAATTATTATATCTGTATCTTGAAACCGCAATAGGCAATGGTAACATTACTGTTCCAACAAGTGACTGTAGATGACTACAGATAGAAGGTTTCTGGTAAAATTATCAAAATGTAGGAATTTCCTTGTCAATTTTTTTTTAAAATGATACAACAAATGTAAAATTAATCCTAGCAAGATTAGTTTAACGAGACTAGTTTTAAAAACAAAATAATGAAACTTTAACAATATGAGTGAATTATTAGTTAAATATTAAACCTACTTTTATGCAAATAAATCTATAAACTCATAATATACTAATAATAATAATAATATTTATTCACAACAAAAGTAAGAAAGAGTACAATTTTTATATTTAAACATTATTTTTATAATATAGGTATACAAAATAAAAATGTACCAAAAAAGATAACTTTATCTCCCATGCTAGTCATAACTGTATTATGACAGATAATGACTCTCACTCAAAATAGCATATTTCTTATTTATTATACATATTTAACCTTGAATCTATAATTGTAGTCAAAAAACCACTTTACCAGTATCTTCTGTTATGTTTCTGTTATCCATGGTAATGCTCATGTCTATAGGCAATGGTTATCACTTTCCATCTGGTGGGCCATAGCCTTGTTTGCCATTCTAAGTTGCAAAAAAACTTTATGAGTTGACATAATTATTAATTTACTCTTGCGCCACCTGCCCTTTTCTATCTGTTCTCCTTTAACTAAAGGTTGTCTGTAAGTGATTGCCCTAGCGATAAGACCTTTTGTACCTTTATGTGTATATTTCAATCTGTATTTATGTTACTGTATTTCCCTTGAATTATTCACTTGTCATTGTATATTTTTATTTATGGTGCAATAAAGAGTTAAATAAATAAATAAATAATCCATAGGCATAAGGAAAAGTCCTTTAGTCACAGACAATTATTAATCAATTTGGCTCTGAGCTACATGTTGCATTATAAAAAGAAATTTCTATGCATAATTATTGTATTCAGTCCATTTAGGTTTTATGATTTACTTGAAATGATTGCTGGTCTTTTATAACCCTTAATGAATATAATACTTTATTTAGTACCTTCACATTATTACCAATTACAATATTCATATTGTTTGACAATTGGCTGAAAAATCTTTCTCTCACACATGCTTCTTCTTTCTACCTTTTTCTTTTATTATTTTAGTATTTTTTGTATGTTAAAGTAATTTTAAATATTGTGCTTCAGATACATTAGGTGGAGACTCTAGTTCATCTGCTGATTCCAACTCAGTTGTTCAAGATCCTGTAAGTGCTCAACTTATCAATAATATCAGTATGCTGGATTATCAGACCCTTAGCAAGAATGTTGATCTGATGATGGGACCGGTAAGAACTATAATTATTTTTTCTTCTGGACTTATTTCAGATTGGTAATATTAGTAAGATAAAAATACAAAAACTACTTCTATAAGGCTAGCTTTATAGACTCTATAAATTAAATGCAATTTTATACAGTATTTTGTAAAAGATAATTTCATGATAATATGGACAGGAATGTGGAAAATTCACATATTTAAATATCAGTGAATAGTTGTTTCTCCTCAATGTTATTATATTCATGTCTATAAAATAATGATAATAAAGATGAATATTTCTATTTTAGGCTGAAGATTGTAAACTCAATGGAAATCTCAATATCAGCAACAGGAAATTACCCGACTTTGTTAACTGGAATTGGGGAATAATTAGGAAAGTGCTTCTGTGGGTTGTTCTTTCAGCTTTAGTGGCATGTTTAGGGGCTATTATAGCAATGGTTGTTACTATCCCAAGAGTATGTAACCCAGATCTTCCCTGGTATCAAGGAAAGGTATTTTATGAAATATTTCCAGCTAGTTTTAAGGATTCAAATAATGATGGTATTGGAGACCTTAAGGGGCTCATTAAGAAACTTGATTATATTCAAAACCTAGGTGTTTCGGCAATTCGTTTAAATTCTGTATTTGAGGCTCAAAATTATCCAGAACAATATTACAATGTAACTTCTTTGATGAATATTGACAGAAGTATTGGTACAATAGATGATTTTAAAGATTTGGTAACAGATATACATAAAAGGAACATGTCAATAATTCTTGACTTACCAGTGGCATCAATGATCACGTCTGATACGCCATTTAATTCTTCCCAACCATATTTGTTTACAAACAATACACTGGTTGGAGTTTCAGATGTAACAACAACTGCAATTGTTTATTGGGCCCACATTAAAAATGTTGATGGATTTTATTTAAAAAAATTGGATCGTTTTGTTGATGATCCCAATTTTGGCAAATCTTTACAATTTTGGAAGCAAATTATAGGTTATAATAAGATATTTATTGCAAGCGAAGAAACTTTGCAAAAAGCCAATGGTAATTCTCTTAACATTTTGTTGTCAAGAATTGATCTTATTGATATTCATTTAGATTTACGTCATGGTATAAATGGCTTAAAAAATCGTATAGATGAAGTTATAACAGGCTCACTTTGGACAAAACCTCATTATCCATGGGTTCATTGGAATATTGGCAACATATATAATGAGAGAATCTCTACAAAACATTTAAATAATACGTTAGCACTAACTGTTTTAGAATTTGTTTTGCCTGGTACTGTTAGTATATTTTATGGAGACGAGATAGGTTTGGGTGGTTTGCAGGAAGTGGAAAAAGATTTCCATGAGCATAAAGATACACATAATTTAGTGATGATGAATTTTTCAGATAGTGGTAAAAATGAAAATGTTGGAATATTACCGTGGAATTCTCAGTCTCTTTTACAACCTAGATATCATTACATAGACATTATAAAAAGTTTATCAAAGGTTAGAATGAGTACTCCTACAATATACTTGAGAGCAATTTACAAAGATGGCAACATATTAAAAAATATTGGGATACGAAAAACCGAAGAAAATTTAGTTGTGATAGAACGATGGTATCCTCGAAGGAATACATGTGTATTTGTCGGTAATTTGGGAAATACGTCCATTACGACAGATCTGTCTACGATGTTCTATGGTGGCACAGTAGTTTCTGGTACTAATGCTTCTCTCGTAGGACAAACATTGTACTTCGATGAAGTAACATTTCCTCCGAATTCAGCTATAATATTGAAACTAGAAAAGTGAAATACAGAATTATAAATATAGGCATATAATGCTACTGATGATTACTATATTTTTTAAAAGTATTAATACTGAATTTTACGAGTTAAACATAATGAGAGGACTATAGATATACAATCTATGATTAACCAGTTTATTAGAGACGTGGTCGACGAGCTAAGTGCACGGCAACTCGACGATTGTGAGCGACCAATGCGTGTATGGTATAATTTTTTTTAGTATCAACCACAATTCGCATTCGGATTCGAATGATGCCATTATATGAGCAAATGTCTTTTTCATATCATCCTAGTTCCTTGATGCAGAATCCAGGTATTTTTATTACTTTTTTTTAATTTTATGTTTAATAATGTTAAGTTTCAATGATATTCATAATTCAGAATCTCTATAAATGTTAATGTATTATAGTTCCTAAGTTAGTGATCTGAAAAAGGAAAAAAAATATTTGGAAAAAGTGCTTGTGTGTGTACCTACTTACAATTTTTATTATTATTTAAGCTTTGGTTTATTTAATATTTAAGTATTAATCATTAACAAAGTTCCTTCACCTAGTACTTATACCAAAGATTTATATGTACTTATAATTGAAAGGAATATAGAAAAACAAAATGGATACAATCATTAAAATTTAATATACATTTGTACACATTTGAAACAAATAGGTATTATGTACTTAGTATATTCATTATTATTATTATATTATGTACATTATAATTTGTAAACAAATAAATAGTTGTTGACATAATAACGCTTTACTCATTTACTAAACCTAAGTAATGACTTCAGTTCTAATTACATTACAAATTATTTTACATCAGATACTATTCAAACAGCGAGTATTTTGTTATTATTATCTTTTGTTACTACATTACATTCCCTATTTAATAGCGAATATCAAAATACTTGGTATGCTACACAATATGGACAAAAAGAAGGATTTCTCGTCAGCTTAGCGATCCTATCTGAATCAAATATATCTATGTGTTGGTATAATTCTTGCGGAAACTATAACATTGCTAGGTCGCGCTTGGCTTTGTGCATAATACATAATATGAAGCCCATTTGATTTTATTGTATTATGTGTAAACTGATCAGGGATTATTTATTGTTTAGGGAACATAATAGCGCGGAATTCTTTTTATGTAGTCCTTGTGTTTATCACGGTTTATATATAAAAGTTAAGATGTTTTACCAAGGTATATCAAGATACCTAATACAATATATGAATATAACAATGAATAAAAATTTTGCTATCAATTTGAACATATTTCTAATTGATTCATGCAGATTGTTAAAAATTGCAAGGGGAAACTAATTTTCAGATATATTTGTTATCATTATTATGGTTTCATTAAAATATCTAATATTATATAGTTTTATTGTTTTATCGCAATAGGTTTACACTTTACTAGAACACAGCCTTATACAAATAAATCCGAATAATTATCTTAAAAAATATTATAATTTTGAGTAATAATTAAATAAATATATCCAAATAAGATTACCACTGTATAAAAAAAATTTAATTGATTTAAAAATTTTATAACATTTCGTACCTAAATAGTGATTTATATAAATGTGACATATTGTAGAAACTTGTTCCAATTTTAATTTTTAATATTTTAATGATGTTTGTAAAACGCAGTGCGAAGCGGTACTTTTTGTTTACACGGTATGATTCGGCCCTTTTTTGTTGTCTGTCACATGTATATATTCCATTGCCATATATAACTCTCGAGGATCATGCTATACACTCGTATGCCCATCTCAATATAATCCGCAGAAGATGGAACGCGTCCCTTTCCCTCGCGTAGAGCGGCAAATATATAGAAATTACTTCACAATCGCGTGTAGCAATATATTATTACACTATTTACATTATAACAGAAAACTATGTAAAACAAGTAATCATTATTAGACCAGGTTCTCAATTCTTAATTTAGATCAATTATACTCGTCAAGATTTTAGACATTTAGTTAATTTTCTTATGTGATAGGAGGTATTTGTATTTCAAAGTTTTATGAAAATGCAAAATGTTATAATTAACAGAATGGCATTGTGTTATACGACTTATTCCACAAATATGCAAGAAATATACCTAGGTATATTGGAAAAACGATGAAATAAGTGGTCAATTATTTGTATCAAGTACTGGCAATTAAAAATAATAAAAAAATTATTCATTGAAATAAATATTTGATGGCTGTTCTTGCAGCATTTTATACATTAGAGCAAAATGTTAGTTCCCATAGAATTAATGTTCAATAACAATAATAGAAGAGTTTTCTCACATTACACTTTTCTAGTCAGTTATAGCATTATGCTTTTTGTTCGAGTTATTCGTAATTCACATTCAATCTATTTGAGACCAACTGCATCGTTTTACTTGCTATTTGCGCAAATTGTCTAACGTTATAAAATAAAATAGATTAATTTTTCGATTGGTCTATGGGAGAATAAATACATATTATGTGAATCATAGCATAATACCAATATCTAGCAGATGTAGAGCTTTGGTTTGGATTTTCTTAAATTACTTCACATATGATAATGTTTTATTAGTTGTCATATAGATCTGTATAGACAGTTCATATTAAAGAATTAGATTATTACTATTAGTAATTAAGATACATTAATTGCCTAAAATAATGATTAAGATAGGTCTACAGTTGTAGGTATGATGTCCAATTTAATAATTAAATTTTAGTATATTGTTACCTAAATTATTATTTTTATTAATATAAATTATAAGTATTTTGCTAATAGTTAATATGTGACAAAACATACAAGCGTAGACCAACCTTATTTTCAGAATGTTATTCAGTCTTTATGGCATTAAATTCGGTGGTTGTATGCTCATAGCACTGGAAGGATTCACAAGTTGTTGTTATATGTCATGAACTAGATTGATTTTTTCTTACTTTAACTACGCTTGGATGCATAACATAAGTGTTGGACATTGCTCTAGGCGTGTGACTTTCGGAACCTGGCAATGCTGGGAGTTTATCTGTGGGATTTCGTATTAACATTTTCTTTTGAGAACCTGGCATTGTTTTTTTAACATTACATTCTTGTTTAGTCTTAACTTCTATGTTATCGGTGGTGTTCTGAACTGACTTGGCACACTTACGTTCACTTTCACAGTCACTGCCTGTTTGTTTACTTAATTTTGGAGCACCAAAAGCTTTAGTTTGTTTTAGCAGCGAACGATCATTACACAATGCTGCTATAAGGGGCAAGTCTAAGTTCTTGCTTTTTTCTCTAATAATTTTTATATCTAAATCACAATTAGTGTCTTTCGCTTTACTTTCACTCGCGGCATTATTCATAATTGTCGTGGAATTTGGAACTTTTATTTCCCTAAGATGCGTTGGAAGTTTTTTCTTGTGTTCATATGGTGGCGGAGGAGGTGGAGGCATGCGTCTTATCTTTATTGGCGGCGGGTCTTTGTTATTCAATATGTTTTCGTCAGACATTGTCCGTGAGAAATTCGGTAATTCGGGAACACGCGTAGGCCTTATAGGTCGGTCAAGATTAATGGAATGATTACTTAATGACGTTCTACTTGTTAAGGAGTACCAGCTGGCTCGTGTACCGGGAAGTTGTACATATGAGTCTGAAAGATTTTGTATTGATCCATACATAGATGTTCCTGATATAGATGTTGATAAATAAGGCGTGCTTCTATATTGTAGACTGCTTTTATGCATATTCGTCACTCTCGATTCAGTTAATTTATGATCAATATAGTTTTGTTGTGACACAGCCGGGTCTTGTAAAGGATAATAGACATAGTCTACATCGCTATATAATTGTTGATGAAAAATCTGATTATGCGGTGGTGGTGGTGGAGGTAGTCGTGCAGCAGGCGGAGGAGGCGGTAAACGTGTGCGTCGAGGGGGTGGTGGCGGTGGAGGCAATTTCATCATAGCTACCAATACATTGGAGTCCACTCCATGAGGAGGAATTTCTCTAGTTGGTGATAGATTACTATTAATTCCTTGAGCTAGTTTTGATCTTTCTGCCCTACGGCTTGACGCTTGATGTCTTTTTGATTTTTGAAATCGATGTTCCAGAACCATTGGACTAGCGAATGTTCTTTCAATAGAAGCATTAACATCTCCTGCTTCAGCTTTAAGAATCGTTATCATAGGTTTTGATGTTACTAATCTGGCTGCCACTTCTTCTTTTTCTCCAGCTTGTCTTAACGACACATTCGAAGATGTCGATCCAGGGTATGCTGGTGGTGCCTTTGATGGGCTGAGATGATAAGATGATAATGTTTTATGGTTGAATTCATAAGGCGGTGGAGGTTTGTCGTGAAATGTAGGTCTCACAGGCACGTTTTCATCTATATCAAGTATATTTGGTAGAGATAAATTGAGTAGTTTACGACTATCACTTCTCGCTGGCGGTGTCGGTGGTCTGTCAAAGAAAGATGTATTGGGATAGTTGTCATCGGAAGGAGCAGTATCTTCATGCCCCTTAATGTAACTGTCTCCACAAAATGGTAAAGGAAGCCTGACGTAGTCCGATACTGAGTCTAAAGTATCACTTACAGATTGGCTTTTTGGATAAACACCACGCCCGACAATCAAATCAGTTAATTCCGTAGCCGTAAGCAAATTATGCTTATTGTCTGTAGGATCACTTCCATCGCCATGAAATGAAACGGCACTCACGTTGGAATTAGTTCGTTCTCTGAATATATTGCTACTATCAGCACGATCTTGCATTGAAAAGTTAGTAGCACCGTCGACACAATCAGTATTTGTGAGTGACACTCTTAATCTCAAGGTATCAGAGGAATGACAATTTCGTTCAGATTTGCTCTTTAATATTGATGATACACTATCGAAATCGGCAAGATCATTATTTTTAGAAGTTTTATAACTGTCATAATGCGAACCACTATATTCTGTGCGACTATCTTCGGACAATGTATCAATTTTTGATTGAGTAGTAAGTTCTGAACTACCTAATGTATAGACACCACTTGTTTCGCTAGATGCAGCTACAGTAACAGCTTGGCCTATGCCGTCATATAAAGTTAGAGCAGTGTCTCGTGAATATTCAACATTTAAACCAACTATGCTATTATCACTTATCATAGAATTTTGCGCTGTATGGCTAAAACCTAATTCTAAACTACTAGCATCAGAGGTTCTGCTTAATGTGCTCAGACCAGCTCTTGCCATAATGACTGTACTACATGACGAAGAACACTGTGATCCTGTACATTTAAGTTTATTTGATACAGGGCTACCTGTTTCAACTACGCATTGTTCAGGCAAGGAGGTAGTTTCTTCTGATTGATTTGGAGATTTTTTACTTACATCCGAAGCGCATATTTTATTATCGTTTTTTGCAACATGTTCACACTCTTCTTTACACTTTTTAGTTCTACTTTTAGATTTAGATTGTAATTGTAAAGACGATGTCTTGGTAAGTGGTTCAGCTTGTGGAATATGTCGAATAAAATATGAATTTGAACAATCTAGTAAATGAGCAAATGCTAAACTTTCAGTAGAAGGTGCCGGGGGTGAGTCTATCATAATTTCCAATTCATCTTCGGATTGAACTCTGTCACTCACTATCCCAGAAGTTGTATTTGAGCTTGTAGTGGAAATAACTGATATTCTTTGTTCACTTTTATTTTGATTGTATTGAAGGTTTAAAGATTTGGAATATCCGTAACAAATTTTGCGTTCCTCTTCTTCTTTTAGTAAGATTTCATTAAACTTTGGTGCGATCTTCATTGAAAACTGATGCGTCTCTTTACATAAAGCAAATAAATATTTACATTTTTCCTCACTAGATGAATACAGTGTGATCTTTCCTTCATCTGTTCTTATTTCAAATTTTTTTCTATCAAAACTTAGTTTTCCAATTGCACTCCACACGAAATTAGACAACGGCCCATTATCTGGTAGAATTTTAATGCCTTTAGCTGTAACAAGAAGCCATACTGTCCCAGTATCTGGTTCTGTTTTAGACTGTTTCAAACGGTACCTGTGAGAATTGATTGTATCAGGAAGTAGACAGACTTCTCGTATAAATCTAATTTGTGCATCTGTTTTTGCAAGGCCGCAGTGTTCCCTATGGCAAGCTCGCATTGCTGCTGATACCCAATCTCCAGTAAGAGAAGGGGGTGCATATTCTTCAACTTTAAAATAGTCTCGATCTTCATATGAATTTGCATCACCATATTCTGCTTGTAGTGCCAAACCAGTAAGAAGCAAAAGTACCTCCGCCGGTAACGCATCTCTTGTACGCACGTTATGCCGTAGTTGCAGGAAGTACAGGTGCCGTCCAATTTCGTCATGCAAAAGTAGTGGACTCTCCACATGGAATTGAACTACTAGGTGCAACTCAAGGAGCGGTTTTCCATTTGCATCCAACCCCTGAAATATTAAAAATGTAAATGTATATCATAAGTTGCTATTAAAACAGTTTCACGTTACGGTAATTACGTGTACAACAATGTAATGAAAATAGATAACTTACATGTGTATGGGATGATCTCCAACTCTTTGGTGCATATTTTGACAATTTGCTTTCTAAGTCAACAAACAAGTATTCTCCATCTGAAAATAATATTTCATTTAACAATAATTCACAAGTACCTACTTAGAATAATATAATTGCGTATTTAGCATCACGCCATAGTATCTGTCACATTGTAGTCATTATAATGCGACTCAGTGATGTGATGTTGTATTGGTACAAACATACATAGAACCCAGATTACACAACAGTCTTTTGTTTGCATATGTATGATGTTCGTGGATTGGAATGTGATACTACATTGCCAATTTATGAAACAAAACTATATAGTAATTTATAAATAAACCAATAGCGATCCAAACTGGCGTCATTCTATGTATTTTGATGTAGCGTAAAATTACTCTTGATTTTAAAAGTTTAAAATTATAATATATTAGGTATGTGAAATGCGTTAAGGAAGTATTTTTAGGCGAACGAAGTCGTGGTTACTTAAATATATGAAATTAACAAATAAGTCTTACTTTGCATTATGGCTAATCCGAAGAGATCGGTGTCGGTCATGCCTTGTAACTGGGCATGACTGGTGGCCAAGGACTTTAATTCTTTGACTCTTGCTTTGGCTTCGACGACGAAATGTAGTGGTTGTGGCTGCCCAGGCATGCGTAGAGAAAGCAAACGGGCGCCCGCGGCGAGCGCGCGCGCCTCGCCGCCCAGCGGCCCGCGAACCGAACACAGAGCGCGCATGTCGCATCTCGAGACCACTGTTACTTGCCCTGCAACAAAAACGATCGAGTTGACTTACTTTGTGTGAAAGATTAGAAATTTCTATGACATATTATTTCATTAGATTGTTATAATTATGCTAAACTACAAGAATGCAACATGTGTACCTACTTAAAAGTTTTTAACGCAATCATAGAATACTTATTATATGTACATACAATACCGAGTTTATAAAGTATAGTTTTTACAATACCAAACTAGGCATTGTCGTAAGGTCCAGTATCATTCTCATATGAATCGCTTACATAACATGGAGCATGTTTATACCACCTATAGGTTACAATTTTAAAAATCCTGACAAAAATCAGACACAAAAAAGTTCATGTTTTGAAAAATACTATCACCATCATCCGTGATAAAGATTATAATTTTTTGTTTAACTAGAAGTTGCTTAAATTGAGAGAAGATTAACTAGTCATTATAAAGATAAAAGAAAACGTCAGAGAGAACACTAATTACCCAGTATATTTAAAGATCAGTTTTTACAAATTGACCGTTTTACTCGTTTTTCTAAATAATTTAATATGGATACAAAATGTTATTTATTTATTACTTCTACAAATTGAAAAAAAAGTTAATCAAAGTTTGGACAGAAGGTCGATTTTCCAAATTAGATGGATGGAAACTACTGTCATCACAGGTAAATAAATTATCCTTTTTCAGAAGTAATAATACATCTTCTCGTTAAGTTAATATTTTTTTAGAATAAAAATATCTAGGTATTATAGGACCGATTTTAATAGATTTAAAAACAGATTTAGGCACTGTGCGTACACTAGCTATTCTTAAATACTGCTAACTTATTTGTACATGAGTAAATGTGTAACAATACATCCGCTTAAATTTAAGCATAATATCTTCCTATTCACAGCGGCTGTTCGACCCTGGAATGTCGGATCTGCACCATCTGTGCATTCCGTTAACTTTTTTCGTATACAATCTTTTTGCTACCTGCTGCCTTTAAGGCATGTTGACATTGTTGCACTTACGCATGTTTGCATCTAAATATTTCTATGATAGAAATTGTAAATAACAAGCTATTCTTTGTTTAACTATTTAAATTCTATGGTGCCGTACTGTGGCTTATAGGTGCCTAACAATAATACTTCTTCGTTACATTGTATAAAAATTTTATTTTTAATTTGTAAGGCTATTTTGTCGATATCATTCATATAAATGACCTGCACGATTAAGTGACCTAAAACAATTATAAAAATTCAGGTGCATAGAGTTTTGGATTTGTATATCCTTCCTGAAGACTGTGGTCCTTGCTATAGCCATGTATTATGAACAAGTTAGGTACCCCTCCATGTAAGTACCCACCTATTATAAAAACGTTTATTGGAATGTAGAACCACAAGATCAGGTTCTAAAAAAACTAGACGCGAATAAATTTCATCCCATCCGGTACCTCTGCGGCTCCTCAGCTCTTGATAGCCATAAGAACATGTTTTTTGTTTTAGTAAATGCGCGATAGTTTGTGATGGCGGTAAAGGCGCGCGGGGCAGGGACAGACCGGTCGGCCAGGCGTGATCGCGCAGGCAGGGATATAGCTGCGGTGCGGGGGGGCGCTACGTAAGCGCGGTAGCAGCGGACGGCGACGCGAGGAATGCGGACGACCTTCAGATGCCGGGCGCCCCTCCCCCATCGCCAGCCGCATCTTGCGTCCTCGCATACCTAAAGCCGTCGTTGCCTCCAGTTTTCGACATCTCGCCACCACTTTTGACACTCACAAATTGTCAGGACGATAATGGACGGAATTTTAAACAGGCACCATCAATATTGATAGCGTCACGAAAAGCGGCAATGATTTATTAGATTTCCAATGACACTATTGACACCTTTATGTTAAATTTGGTATTATGTACAAACGTTAATTGGTTCTAGCCATATATTGCCGTTTCTATATTAACCATATACCTAGACCGCCATGGTTTAGCAGGCTAATGTTATTTAATGAGGAGGGTCCGTTATAGGTTGTTAATTTTCCCGTGTAATTTATTACAAATATTGCAAATAAATTGGCCGTGTGGTCCTGTATTGACTAGGCCACTTTTCCTTTCCTGTGAGTATTGTAAGAGACGAGTAAGGGTACTTAATGGTCGAGGGATGGGCAGCAGCGCTCCTCTTAAAAACATCATCAAAGCCTAATTGTGGTTGTCAACCTGCCAAGCGTGGCAGCTACTGGCAAAACTCTCATTTTAGAGGAGGTTTATGTATAGCAGTGGGCAGAAACTGGCTGATATAATAATAATAAAATTAAAAATATAAATCATTAACATCAGTTGACACAAAATTATCATTACCTAGACCTAGTTATATACATATTATATAGTGTATCTACATTAGAGTAATAACGAAGGATGCAAGATAAAGTAAAGCTAAGTTTGATATTATTCAAATTTTTATTGTATAGGTAAGTACCTATGTATTTATCAACAGATAGTGCATATAGGGTTACCATTTTAGGATTTGTCGAGACTTGGCGTTCTCTCTGTTTAATACAATAAATAATAATGTTTAACATTTAACTTTGGTAAAAAATCTTTATACTTAAATAATAATTATGAAATGCTGATCGTTGGTAAGACGCGGTTACTTATACGGTTTTCATAATTGTACTCCTGACAGTCGAACTTAAAATCTGGTGTAAGTTATCTTGATACATCTTTTAAAAGTGGCTTCTTCAAAAATTTATCCATACGAGGATTCGGGGAAAGTTAACACCAAATTTTTGAAGGCCTTAATACGAGTAGATACGTGCGTAATGACAAGAGCCCTCACATAAGAGTAAGGGCCCTCACTGGACATTGATAACTAAATAAAGTAAATAAATAAATAACCATTCAAGGTGTAAGCATATAATATGAACGAGATATCTATTGTAGGTATTGCGGGTAAATATCTTGTTCATATATATATATATATATATATATATATATATATATATATATATATATATATATATATATAGGTAAGCGTAATAAAAGTTTAAACTTCGTTATGTAGAAGAGCTATATCACAACACATACGAGGTTTGTCCGGAAAGTACGTATAAAAGTTTTTTAAAAATTTTATTTTACAATTATTCAGGTAAATCAATTTTATCCCCTTCAAAGTACTCCCCCTGTGACATAATGCACTTGTGCCAACGCCGTTTCCACTGTGAGAAGGCTCCTTGAAAGTCCTCTGGTTGTAGGTTTCTCAGCTGCCCCGTCGTAGCTTTTTTTATCTCATTTATGTCCCCCAAATGCCGCCCCCGAAGTACCAATTTGGTTTTTGGGAACAAGAAGAAGTCACACGGGGCCAAATCCGGCGAATAGGGGGGTGTTCGGTCACCGTAATGGAATTTTTACTCAAAAACTCACGGACAACAAGAGAGGTGTGGGCAGGGGCATTGTCGTGGTGAAGAATCCAACGCCCCTCTCGCGCCAATTCTGGACGAACTCGTGCCACACGAGCTTTGAGGCGTCTGAGCACATCGACGTAGAATTTTCCATCAACTGTCTGCCTGGAGGGACGAATTCTTGATGGACAATCCCCCGAACATCGAAAAAAACAATCAACATTGTCTTGACATTTGAGCGGGATTTTCTTGATTTTTTTGTTCGTGGTTCCCCGGATGTCTTCCACTCTTTGCTTTCACGGCCATTCTTGCCGAGTTTCGAGAGAAACTTGATTACGACGCGCTGCTCTTCAACGGAAGCGGGCTCCATGCCGACGGGGTTTCGTTAAGAGGTAACTTCACAGATGGCGTGACAAGCCAGTTCGCACCGCACGGCGGTCAGACCAGAACTGAAGCATTGTTAGGGACATAAGGAAGAGGTCCTGCGCTTACCTGGCCTCCCCACTCCTCTTTCTCGCATTCCAGAACACTTTTATACGAACTTTCCGGACAGACCTCGTATGTGTGCAGTCTATACAGTCAACTCATTGAAATATACCATTGGCGTATTTAAGATAATTTTCCAGAGGCGGCATGGCTCTTTAAAAAATGCGTATCTGTATTTTCAGACATATCTGCGAAGCTTTGCTCGCATCCTGGGGTGGGCACGGTTCACCTGCCCCTCTAAATATGTCTATGTCTACTACGTTAAGTGCGTTCTAGAGGATATATGGAGTGGAATTAAAGTTCCATAATATGAATTCGTAAAGGAGAAAGGGCTTGTTAGTAATGAGGGATCGTATACCCTTTGCTAGCAATATATTCTCTCAGATCGACCTCCATGTTGTTCTTGCTGGAAACACATTGTGGTTGATATTTGAATTCGTCACTATAGGCCAACTGACCTATTTTCATCCTCACCTATCATCCTTCACTATGTAGCCCATGCCAGTAAATACCGATAGCGCAGGCGAAGCTACCATTCCATTTTCATAAATTAAAAAAAAAACCTGAAATCGTTACTCCTTTCAAAATAGGTAGATATACATTAATCAATTTTTTTAATGTATTATAAGAATACAAAATCATCACAATTAATATAATAGCTATCAAGAATGCCGTTATCTGCGGTTGGATTGTAGGTAAATAAAATAATCCAATGATTTGTCACAACTTACGTTACACGTAGGTACATTATAAGGACGAATACTCATAGAGTGCTGGTCTCACCCTGTTCGTTGTGTAGTGCATGTACAATCATTGATAACTAAAGATTCGTCATACATCGTTATCAGTACAATTAGTGTGTATACCAGGTACATATTATTACTGTTTTCCGCAGATACACTCATCTGAAGCCCGAACCCTTATTGGAAACTTCAAAAAAACCCTTTTAGTGCTCATTTACGGGGTATCTCTGATACGAGTATTTTATGCAAATCGTATTAATAAGATAGTATTTTTTATATCATTTAGAATGACAAATAAGTTGACGCCCCAGGTGATAGGTGGTAATCATCGCCTACATACAGCACAGTGACCTTTATGGTACACCTCCACCCTTACACAGCAAAGTACAGCGGTGGTCAGTAGAAATACGAGTGT